GTTGGCCGGGCTGGATTGGAGGTGTGGGGGTTGGTGGCTTTGGCTGGGGGTGATGGTGGCTGTAGCTGCTGGGACGGCGGCTGCTGCCGGACACGTGACACCGGTGGGGGTGACTGTGGTGCGGGCTACTGTTGTTGTCGCTGAAACCGGCACCGACGGTCCTATACGTCGTGGCGTTGATATGCTGGTGCCGTCCGTCGGGGTGGCACTCGGCCTGGCGGTCCAGTCCTCGGCCTTGCCCCGGCCTGAGGGGTGGTCTCTCGAACAATAATATATAATAAATACGCTGGCCCGTTTTCGGCCGAACGAAGCGGTGGCTGCCCGTTCGGCTGACCAACCTCCGACCGCGTTGTCCGGACCCTCGCCCGTCAGCCTCCTGGCTTCCCACAACAGCTGCGTGGCCATTTCCCGGAGCTTCTCCACATGTGTGGCGATCATTCCACGGGATGGCCGGTTGTTGCGGGTTGGTGGCGGATGGTTTGCTCGTTCTGCCATCTAAAACAAGGTATGATTAGTTAGTGTTCTCTGACGGTCCTACAGCTCGCTTCATCGCTGAGACATGTAACTTAGTAGGGTGTTTACCCTCCTTCAAGAACACTCCGGTTCCTAGTGGTTTACCCAACTTAACCGGACCTAACCATTTCGGGGCGAACCCCGCGTGAAATCACTTCTCCACACTTGACTGCGGGTTCGCTTTGTAGTATACCCAATCCCCTACCGACAGGTTGCCTTTTCCCGAGGATTCTGGGGTATATGGGTACTGGGGGCTTTGGAGCTAGGCGTCACCGGGTAAGCTCCCTCTACTACCGGAGCATCATCCGGTTCCACCGGAGAATCTTCGATTCTTCCCGAAGGGTCCCGGTCTGCTCCGGCCAACTCCGGATCTGCGTCCGGAGATTCTTCGGCCATTTCGAGCTGCCAATCTCCAGGGGCCTTGATCTCCCGTCCGAACATCAATTTGGCCGATGACTATGGACTAGCGTACCGCATTGTCTAGTTCACGGTCAACTAGGTACCAGCCGAACCAAGATAGGGTAGGGTGCGACCAACTTTGTAATTATAAGAAAGAAAGCATTTCGTGGAAATCATTAACGTTAGGGCAACACGAAATCATGTGGTTAGACGACCATAAAAGATCGTTGATAGGTGTGCACAGGATGTGGGGTTATGCATCAATACAAAAGTTCCAAGAACCAATGTTATAATGTAATATTATAATGTATATTTTTACATAATAATAATATAAATTATCGAGGTCTGTAGCTGCATGGGATGCGCATTTAGCTTGTACGTGGGCAAGTGGCATTTCCGTCAATTTAGATAAGTATATCACATCCGCGAGAGCAGCGACAAGAAC